TTTTTTTACATTTAATTTATTAAAAGTAAAAAAATTTGTGCGTGCCTAGTTTATCTATGCATCTATTTATCTACTTTTTGAAATTTAAAACATAAGCACATGACTTGTTTATCTTGGATTATTACTTCTTCTTAATAAGCGTTTCTTTTTTTCCCCCCCTTATGTACACCTATCAGTTCATACATAAGCCGATATATCAAAACATGAACACGGATACTATTTGACATCAAAAAAAAATTTATTGCTGCTATTACCTAAATATTCTTATCATTGGATATTCTTAAAGTATAAGCGAATTTGTAACTGTCTGTTCATGACTTTTCTTTTATTGTGAATATGTGAATCATGTGAAAATTATTCGTTCGCATTTAGAATAATTTGAACTTCTTCACTAATGTCCCCATCATCTACAATGTATCTTAATATTCTATCATGCACAGATGTGAATATTTTTTTGTTTTATTATTGCCCCTCTCCAAAAAATGATGACAAGAAATGCTAACATCTTTGCTGCCCCTGTATAACATATTTTGATTTGAGTATTATTTTTTCATACATGTTAAACGTCTTTTAATCCTTTCTTCGTCTTCCTCTGACCTTTCTATTCAGGTGAAAAAAGCGTTATGATGAGGAGGAAAATAATATATCGATATATATTTTACTTTTATGTATAACCTTGTGATTCAGCGTGCATGTTAAGTGCTAGCCAGATTTCAGTGTATAATGCCATAATTGTTTTCATTGAATTCTCTTGTTTTTTCCTATTGAGGCTGATTTTATTGGTATGTCCGTCCTATTGAATTTATCTAAACCATTTTGATGTTCGAAAAAAAAATCCAAGGAATCGATGTACTTTTCCAATCTTCTATGACTTTTTTTTTGAAGTGTGGATACTTCCTACCTCAAGACTGAATTAGAAAATGAACAAAGAACGTGAGAATAGTTCATTACGTGGGAGAAATACCCACAAAAGTAGCCTAAGTTCCTTTTATAAGTATCACACCACCCCTCATCAAAATATGCTTATTAATAGGACAGGGTGCTTGTTTCGCGCATATGAACGGGACATCACTGGAGCATTTATGAAATACTGTGAGCCTCAGCTTGTTGGGAAGCGTCCCATTCGCTATTCTGAATTTTTAGAAATTGTTTACAACCAAGAGAAATATCAGCGGGAGCAGGACAGGATAAGCCGTGATTCCGACATACCCTGTATTTGCATCGACGGGAATACTCGGAATAGCGGAGAGGATGGTGAAAATTATCTGATGCGAACCATACCGGATATGATTTTCAAACACCTGCACGCCGTCGTGGTGCCTCCGGTTCCCGACCCGGAGGATGACCTGCAAATCCTCAACTCCAAGCTAAAGGACCCCCCCCAACCCCGGAAAGCAATTTAGCCAAGTTAAAAACCTCCGCGGAGCGCATCCAAGCCTCGCGCATGTTTGTCTTGAAGTATTTGGTGACCCACGCGCGGTGCCGCGGCCCCGACAGCCTCGATCGGTCCCCCCCCCAAGACGCCTCCCGCGACGTCTCCTCGGCCCCGACGCAAACATTTATCACCAACACCTCGGGGAAGTTCTACGGCCTACGCCAGATCTCCACCTTCTCCTCGGAGTACCTGACCGTTCTCGAGGTATGGAAGCGGCTCCGCCT